TGTCTAGAACAATTCTTACAAGTATAACACGACGTAGCTGGGCACCGCGGACAGACACCGAACGGCGCCGCCGGAGTGCCCACACTCATAGAAAATAATGTATTTGAATTTTAAAGACGTGGCGCGACCACCTGAAACGCTGTATTTTTGGGCTTCCGAAAGCGGATGATGTCAGGAAACCGTGGTTGCAATTTACTTTTTAACTCTGTTCCTGAGCATTGTAACCCCAATTTGCTATTGTGTGCTGCGCATTTTACTGAGGACAGCTTCCACATCACGAGAGTGAGAAGTGCCGGATTCGCCAAAAGCTTTTGTTAAAAGACGGAGCAAGGGGCGTGGCAGTCCTGAAACACCGTCTAAGCTGTTCGCCAATCACAACGCACTGGGACAGCTAACCAATCACAACACATTTTGTTTTTTGGAAGGCGGACCTTCATCAAAGCCGGAACTAATCGAGCCGTTTGTGCCAGGCTGGGGAGAAAGGTATTTTAATAATGTAAATTATGTGAAAAATAATGCGTTTTTCGAACGAACAAGCATGAGAGCATGTTCTAGTACACCCCCAAAACAAAATCAAGACTTTGTAAAAGAGCATAATAGGACCCCTTTAAGAAAATCGTGCAGCCCTAATTTTATAACTGAGAAATATCTGTATAAATTACTTCAGGCTAATTAAATCCATTTTTTTACCTTTCACTTTTTTCCTCAATCTTCCCCTCTACACCTATGTCTCTTTCTCTGCAGGAAAAGATCACGGTCATGAGTACCATTAACCCAGCTAAGGACCTGTCGATGGACATGGTGGGTCGCCAGGTGCTACCAGAGGACCAGCGAAAGAAGGTTGTTCAGCTCAAAGATCTGTTGGACCAAATTCTGATGCTGGATCCTGCCAAGCGGATCACCATCAATCAGGCATTACAGCATCCTTTCATCCAGGAGAGGATATGATCAGCAGCATACCTCAGAGATTAATGATGGTTTTGTATCTACAGATATGACTCAGACAACAAAAGACGTTTGTATATTTTATTGCCATGCTATTTTATTTTAGTCTCTGATTTGTAGTAAGGAGAGCAGGACACAATCAAGATTTACTTTATTTTATTATTATTAGATGACCTACAAGACATCCTGTAAGCTGTAAATCTTTCAGAAAACAAAAAATCTTTCAAGAAATTATATTGTTCGCATTGCATGCTTTATACACAGCTTCTTGCTAATAATAATTTCAAATATATTTGATATTATGCTCAATGTTCAGAATGTAAAAATATCCATTTGTGTGCTAAGTTCACAGACCTTATATTTTATGTAAGATTCTAGAATTTGATGTAAACGAAATATTACTCAACCACCAAGGACTGTTTAGAGTGTGACATAAGTAAGACCAGCATAAATGCTGTGTATATCCACCCTCCCTTAGGTGTGAGAGTGAGAACTCAACCTGGCGTGCAGGCCCATGGCATGCCCCTTGCCCTAGGTGTGTTTCTGCTGAATCTGAGGTCTTGGGTCCTGCTTGACCTGGTCTGCAGGGAAAGCCTCCTCTGTAAAGGCAGGTTGTACACCTCTATCGGTACACTGAAGGTAAGCTAATCCTTCCAAAACAAACGGCATCAACATTTTGCATTCTTTTCAAGCCCGAAAATAATGTATCATAAAGCCATTTCGGCTTCTCCTGCATGTTTACAGAATGTAATTTGGAGAAATGGACATGCATTGAAACCCTTTGTCACCCTTTTGCTCTGTACCAAAACCTAGTGAGGCATCATAGATATATTATATTATTATATTTCAAATGTGTGGGGTCTTTAATTTTGTTATTTGCTGTCACATGATCCTTCAGAAATCATGCTGATTCAGTCCTTAAGAAAAATGTATTATTATTTTCAGTGTTAAAAAATAATTGTGCTGCTTGATATTTTTTATTAAGCATATGGAAACATTGACACCCTTTTTTTAGGATTCGATGATGAATGGAGAGTTCAAAAGAACAGCATTTATTTGAAATATATCTTTTGTAATATTATAAATGTCCTTGTCTTTAATGCAACCTTTCTGAATGAATGTACTTACTGACCCTATACGTTTGCACAATACTGAAAATTATTATTAAACAGTGTCAAATTAAAAACTATTTGACTCAAATTTTGTATGACTTTTTATATTTGTTATGTTTCATTATTTTATTATGTTAGAGTATTGCAGTCGTGAACCTACGCAGAGCATTCCAAAATGTTCACTTTTGAGGGCACTGCCTACGTATGCAATAGGCAGTGAGGCAGCTTTACTAGATTTTGGAACAGAGCTTCTATTGTGGTGTTTCTCACAGAGACAAAACAGTCGGTATGAATGAAAAGACTATCACTTTCTCAAAAATGGAAGGAACCGGTTACGGTAGACATTGAGGGTAAGGGTGAATCCAAGTATTTTTAATGGACCAAGCACCTTCAGTGTACTGCCTCTGATAGACATACTTCACTTTTTTCAGAGTTGTCACACTTATGCGTCATAGTTTTTGCATAATCTATTGAGTGTTTTTCAATATGCATGAGAATATGTTATATGTATGGCTTCCAATGCACTACTGTACAAACCCTCTGGTGGGCTTTTCACTATGCGTAGACTATTTAGATGTATTTTTTGTGACTGTTCTTGTGTTTGTGACAATGTTGTCTTTTGATACAGGGGTTTTCCTGCTCTGATCTATGAATCTGCTTGTTACAAGCGGTAATTGCTTCTTTATTCATATCTCAATTCCTTGTGTTCCAAATCTATACAACGGTCATAAAGTATGCTGGAAGAATTATCTGCCTGTTATTTTTGCAAAGCCTGTCCTGCATGATAATGGAATAATTTGAATTTACTGTAAATTCGCATTATTTGTTATCATTAAACAATATAAAAATAAAGCTGTTTTGTGGTGAAAAAAACATGAATTTAAACTTCCCACAAGTTGTCCGTCTTCCAAGAATTTCATGCAAGTTAATCATAACACTGTAAGAACATTATTCAGCATTTTAGGAAGCTTATGGTGGGTTTTGTTTCATCAAAACTAACTGCTGTTTGTGCTGTTTCTCCCACTGTTTCTTGTGTTCGAGTATATTCTCTGGCCAATGGAGACATGTCTGTCCATCATCCTCCTGCCTGCCTCTGCTTTCAAAAGGATGAGACCTCTTCAAGGCCCTTTATCCAGGTCACTCCTAAAGGCATGTTTAGATCCAACACAAAGCAAAGCTTTGATTAGAAATGAACAGCCAGTTCAGAGGCTAATTCTCATAGGATTAATGTTCCCATCTCATGTGTAGTATTAATTAATGTCTAATTTCTAATCTAGCTTTTTAGGGCTGTAGATATTAGATGACATTAATGAATTTGGCAGCAGACAATGGGTTTTCAGACCCCAAATTTATTGATAGGGGCCCTTTTCTTAAATATAAGGGCAGCTGTATATTTTCCTGTATTAAAACCCTTTTATTTTATAAATGAACTTTTTATACATGATTTTTATTACCACTGTTTCTTGTGTTCGAGTATATTCTCTGGCCAATGGAGACATGTCTGTCCATCATCCTCCTGCCTGCCTCTGCTTTCAAAAGGATGAGACCTCTTCAAGGCCCTTTATCCAGGTCACTCCTAAAGGCATGTTTAGATCCAACACAAAGCAAAGCTTTGATTAGAAATGAACAGCCAGTTCAGAGGCTAATTCTCATAGGATTAATGTTCCCATCTCATGTGTAGTATTAATTAATGTCTAATTTCTAATCCATCTTTTTAGGGCTGTAGATATTAGGTGACATTAATGAATTTGGCAGCAGACAATGGGTTTTCAGACCCCAAATTTATTGATAGGGGCCCTTTTCTTAAATATAAGGGCAGCTGTATATTTTCCTGTATTAAAACCCTTTTATTTTATAAATGAACTTTTTATACATGATTTTTTTTTTTTTTTTCTATCTACCAGTGTTGTTATTGGTCTGATCACAGAATAACCTATCCATATTCAGCTTTGTGAGGACCTTGCATTGACTTTATCCATTGGTGTGAACCACAGAGGTTCGTTCTTGGACCATTTTATATTCAAGACCTAACAAAAATGGACAGATTTAGTCACCTTGGGTGTCAGCTGATGAGTGTGTATTTCTCCAGGATAATTCAAGAATGTGTACTTTCTGTAATGTACCAAGATACTGGTATATTTATTCTTTGTATTGTAGGTGCTGTCTGTTAAAGAAGACTCTTAAAGGAAATCTCATCTGAAAAAAGGTTTCTGTTTTAGAGCGAGCTTTTACAAGAATTAAGCTGTTGATTTTAATCTGACAATACAGTATGTGGTTGAATAAGTAGTTCCTCATTTAGCCTATGATAAAATTTGACAGTTACTGATTCTGCTTTTAAATAATTTAGTCAAATCCAAATGTATTTATACAGTATAAAATAATTTTTGCCTAAACCCAATATATACCATCTAAATTTGCAATTTATAAGCAATTTATACTTATAATTTAAACACTATATATAGTGTTACTATATATATACATATATACAATGCCGGTTTCTAAAATAAAATAAATTGACTCAACGTACATAAAAATTGTTACAATCTGGTATTACACATTCCAGATTTATCAACCAAAAGGTAATGCTTTTCCTTTTTAAGAAATACATGTTTGCATGTCGCCCACAAAAGTAACCATTCTTGAACCACAACTAACCATTTTCAATTCTATTTTCAGGGTAAGTGTTAAAATTGTCCATACTGTCATGGCCACGTGTGATTCCAAGTGTGAGAGAGACCCTGATGGCCAGCTGCTGTCCTACTCTATTATTGAAGTGCCTTTCAAGAGCTCATCTTCTTATCCACTCAAGGGGGAAATTACCAACATCTGTACACAGCATAACAATGTTCAATTTGTATCAGATTATACAGCCAATATTGCACAAGAATATGAATAAATGGTGAATTTATTAATGTCTGGTTTAATTTCATTTTGAAGTGTTTATATATTTAGATAACACTATTCCATTTAGTTTTGCTGCATGTGGTTAGCGCAAGTTCCTTATCACTTGTCTGTATCAATAAAAAGCAGCCCAAAGCCCACAAAAATCAAAGAGCTACTGAATAAATGTTTTGGGTTACTGTGTAAGATGTTTTTTTCCCAAAACTAAAGTTATTTTTCTGCGGTAACTGACAGCATGCCACAAGTTTTGTTGATGGCGCTCAACTTGTATTGAATTTGGAAGATTAAATACAGTAACATGCACACAGGTAATTACACACTGTCAATCTTAAAACCCTTAAAAATAATTCGATCATGTTTTCCTGCAAAGAGCTTTAGCACGAACAAGTCTTTTCAGAAGAAGTCTTCTGAGACTTTGGCATGGCTTTCTTTGAGGGTTTGCATCTCTTCAAGCTATTTGGACTACTGCATTTTTGTGACATGCTTGAATGAACAACAAGATCTTGAACAAGGGCATCAGTCTTCTTTAATTTGACCACACCAGCGTGTGGTTTCTTAGGTAAAGCCAGTGGTTGCTGAAATCCAATCCACACCTTTCCAGCATTTGGCGAGGGGCGATTATGATGCGTAGACTTTGAATGAGAGCTTGAAGAAAGGGCGAGTTTTGTTACTACATCTAAAACTGAATTATTGCCTTTAGTCCTCAAGTGTTCTACCTGAGAACAAGGGCTTTCTACACGTCTCAGATGGTTGGCGCTTCGAACTAAAGCAGTTGCTGGCAGAGATCTCACCGCTTTCCCTTGTTCTTTCTGTATAGTCGCAGTCTGAAGTTTCTCCAGTTTTATCATGCGTGCAGCCATAGCTGTGAGACAAGGGTCGGTTAAACACAAGTTGTGCTGGCTCTCCAAATCATCTGCTGTGGATTGGAATTGACTAAAGTCGAGATCTTTAAGTGGAAATGGAAGAACCTCAGGATACACTTGCTTTCCTCCAGTCACTGTAGGTTCTAGATCTCTATCAAATAAGTCTGGCCTCGGGTCCAATTCTACAGCAGTTTCCCATTTAAATATAGGTTTATTGTCTTTCTCTTGGTCAGAGAGGTCACTGTTTTCAGATTCGACTAATATGGATGGTTCATTATTGGATCTACTACAAAGGGAATTACTGATTGTCTTGATCTCATCTGGTCGTTCGTTCCTTGGAGAAACAATGTGGCTAACCTGTATGGGGTGGATTTCCAGTTCTGGTCTGGTTTCTACATCATGTTTATGTTGAGAAATGTGTTCTTGTGTGTCCCAGAGGATTGGAGGCTGAAGACCAAGCCTCTGCCATCTGTGAGACAGCATCCTTAACTGGGTTTTATGATGTTGCTTTGAGCTGAAAAAAAATAGCACAAAAATGTCAATTACAGAAGAAATATTTCTCTAGATGCCATTTAACCTCTTCAATAGATATCCCAGCATTGTGGCATGGAGTATCAGTTCCAGGTTGGCAAAGTGAGAGAAGTCTAGTGTTGCAGCATGATACAAAGCAACATTCAGTTCAACAAAAGGTTAAGATTTCTGGCAAACACAGCAAGTATCTGTGCCAAGTCCTCATCTACATTTCTAATATATTCATTTTACATTAAACACAAAGTGTAAAACATATAGGTAGGTAACAGAACACCTATTGCAAATAGTACTGCCACTGCCAGTGTAATTAGAACTGATATTTCAAAATGCTTTAAACTTAGATGGCCCTGTCACACTGATGGCTATCATCTGGCTGGCAATGCCTAATGGGTCAGAAGTCAGAAGTCAGTCTCTACTTACACTTGGGATGATTTTGTTTGGCTGCAACAGGTGGTTGGTTCCTGTGCCGTACAGCCATTAGAAATGCTTTCCAAACATACCTGCAAAATAAAATGCATTTAAACTTTTTTATGATTTTCAATGAAATATACAATTTGCACACATATTACTTACAAATGTATACATGTTACTGAATATCACAAAATATAAAAAATTGAAATTAACTTTTATTAATTTTTGTTCAAAGAAATGCCACTTCGTTTGATACGTTGTCATCTAATGCAATGACATTCAGACAAATACATTTATTACATCTTGGAGTTACTGTACATGCATAAATTAATTTAAAGAATATATATATATATATATATATATATATATATAAACAAAATAATCCTCAGTTACAGTGGCAGCTCAAGTAACACCATATGAAACAGAAGAAACACTGATACCTGTTGTGTGTTCACTACCGCAGACATGTGCAGACTTTCCAGTCGCTGTACTAACTGAGTAATGTAGACGTCCTGTGAACACAGAATATTCAAACTAAAATACTCAAAATATGAGTGGCAATAGACAAAGGATATGTCATCTAAAGTTACCTATGTGGACACACTGTCTAGTTATATGTAATACGTGTATTAAAAACATTTCACTTGCAGAGATTAAAAAAAAAATTTGTTGGCAAAGACAAAGTAGTGAAGGTTCAAAGTTTAAAAAAAGATATTTGCAAAACCCCAATTGTTGACATGCAATTGGACTATGGTAATATATATTAAAAAGGTTCTGTTTCTTTTGGGTCTCATATAATTGGTCATTTGCTTAAGAACAAATTCCTTACCTTATGACACTCTGCTGACCAAGAGGTACCTGGCATGAAACAAGTTATCAAGATAAAACATCCCTCCATGTCTGGAATGAAACTATGAACAGTGTATCATTAGAAATGAAGAAGACATTCACTCACCTTCAAGTGGTGGTGTGAGATCTGTCCTAGACTTGCTCTGGACCCGCCAGGTACACTACACATAAGCCAAAATCACATGACAAGTACAGACAGACCTCTAGTCAGTGATGCACTACTAAAACGCTCATATTTCTTTTCATAATACTCTATGAAGACTTGGATTGACCTCAACGTCTCTCACTGACACTTTCAGAACGCCTGGCAGGTACGCGATGATGTCACGCTTATTTGCATACTGAAATGTGATTGGTTTTTATGTATTCTTCTATTTACATATTCAATTGTGATTGTTTTCTTCCTTATTCAACAGTTGCTATTTCATATTACTGCCACTTACAGTAGGTGCGCTGCAAGCCACTCCATGCGACTTCCAGCTGATTTCATCCTTCGTGCTTTCCATAGAAAAATCATAGATCCTTTCGACTAAATAAGAACATGTGGAATGTTCTTCCAGGTGCTCTTCTTTCTTCGTCGTCTAAGTTCCCGACGGTCGCTGAGTTTTGATGAGCGAACATGTCGTCAAATGTAATCATATCTGTCAAAAATGAAAGCGCATGAGACGTCCTCGTCCAACACAAATAACTGCACGCTGAAACCATGGCAACCCTTCAGGCCGCCCGCTCTGCCGTAGTAAGCCTCCATCCATTCATTCCTGAGCAGTCATCCGTGGAGCTGCTATGCAGGCTACATCCAGCAGCAACTGTGAGTGAATGGTATGGGGGAAAATGAGGTTTGTTTAAAAACCAAAAAATGCATCGAATACATTTTTGTGGCTTTTACTCCACGTGTATAGTGTTAGCTGCATGTATCATCTGTGTGCTTGGATAATTCTATATATTCCCAAATATCCACAACAAAAAACAGTGCATATCAATAATCAGACTTTTGAATTTGTTCTGTTTAAATGAAATTAAACACTATCAATTCTCAATTCATTATCATTATCAGTTAATGTTACAGAAAGCCAGTTAAAGCCAGTACTTACTCTACGTTTCTTGAGAAAAATGTGGACTAGTCATACAGATGAGCTGTTGTGTGCTGTCTTCCTGATCGCTATGATCACTTTCACGTTGTTTTGGCGCCGTCTGGAAAATATCTGTTTTGCAGAAGCTTTTAAGGTCTTGAGGTTTAACCACAGTGACGCACGCACAAGAGCGTGAACTCTTTTAACTTTTTTTTTTTTAGGTTATCTTGGATCTGTTGCTGCTTTTCAGAATGCAATACTGATTGCTAAATTCATCTTATCACTCATTTCCAGTCATGATTTGTATAGTGATAAGAATGGTGTTGGTAAAAACTGGCCTTTTGTGTGATAATTTGTAGGGTGTATTGATTCGCATGAATAGGTAAAGGTTGGAAAAATGGAAACAAAGTGTATGCCACAAGAGGTGAAGGGTGTTGACGTCAATAATTAAACCCAGTGGCATCTAGGTGTCCTTTACGCAAGCCAACCACCAAATGTTCCTCTTTTTTTTTTTAGTTTTCAGTGACCAGGTCAAATGAAACACATGCACGCACACATATCTCTTTATCTGAGTTTTTAGGCCTTCCTCAAACTGTGGTTTGAGACCTGATTGGTTAAACTCGAAAAACTGTTGAGGAGGTAGCATGTGATTCATTTTAGACTGCTTCCTTTCAGTGTTAAACATTTCTAAAAAGAGCTAACTTTTACAGATTCCTTATCTGTAGGTTATTTCACTAACCTGAAAGTGTTCAATCACTGATGCAGGCATTGTTTAAGTTGATAGAAGCTAGAAGCTGATGCAATCCACGTCTTGCTTTAAATCAGTGCAAACTGATGTCAAAATCAGTTTGATTTAGGTGGTGTCCCTCCTGGTACACCAGTTTGCATGACAAAACTGCATCACCTAGTAATGGTTGTGGCACCGTGAGATGAGGACAAACATTTGTCATTTACTACCTTGTACTGAGAACATACTGCGGTGAATATTTGCACGACATGCTAAGACCACAAGGCTATAGAGGAACAAAGCACTTATAATCACATACCCCCTCATGACTGTTGTTTAAGTTGGAGGGTTTATTAATTCACTCATACACTTTGCAGAAACCCAAAATTGCATTTTAGTACTATTATTTGACATATGCAGTGACGAAAGAAAGATTTCAGCTTGTCTGTAGCTGCCATGCTTGGTTAGTTTTAGTCACCCACTCTTTTTGTTTTTCTAACTCTTTGCTCTACAGTAAGGTTGAACTGAGGTGTACATCTGTTTGGGTTTGTTTGTTTGAATGCCAACGCTTCCATTATACCCTTCTAAGTCACATGATGTTTTGAACAGTGTCATGAGCCCTGTGGCATCACAGTGTTAAAGTGACAAATTAAAATAGAAAAAAAAGTGAGTAGCATGATTTCACAAAGCGTGACTTCCTCAATTTTCTCGATAGAGCAAACATGAAATCTTACTGTCTGGCAGCAACTATAAAGGACTTCTGAAGGAGTTTATAGCATCATTGTATCTAAAGAAGTGATACACCACTAAGTGTATATTACTATAAAACATAGAACCAACTAAAAGCACACAAAGGTCACATATACTTCTGGTGGCTGTTGGGGAGTAACTAACTAAATTAGCACCAGGGTCGGCGCCAGAGCGCACAAAGTGAGGAGGCAGTCACAATTTTTGGGGGGGGCCGCTCATTTTTTTTGGGGGGGGGGCTGCTTTGAAAAAAAAAATGTTTCTGAAAGTAATTTTCAGATGCAACGGGGTAAAAACGGGATAAACACAAACATGCAACTTGTAAATAAAATAATCTGATATATAGCCTATGTACAATTTAATAACATAAAGCCTAGTTTGATGTATGAATTGAGTGTTCATCAAAGATTGCATGCGGTCGGAGATTCCCGTGTTTACAGCTCCGTAAAATAACCCACTGGAAGCTCTGTAGTTTTGCTGTATAGGTCTATAGATAAAAATATTAAAATTACAAACACACAATACTTCCATTTCTGACAAAAAGAATGTAGGCCTAGTAATTGATGTTATAAATACACACGCCTGATTTTTGTTTTAATTATCCATCTTACATAAAAAAACAACAAAAAACATTTGCAATCAAGACAAAAAAGCCAGAAGTGAATGTAAACCGGATTTGGCCCAGACTCTGTTGCTATCTGTGAAGCCAAGCATAAGAATAGCCTACTAATGTAAATGTGTTAACCCACAGTAACACATTTTAACAGATTAATCGCATATTTTCGTTTGCTGCATGCTTTTAAAAACACAATAACATTTTTTTTTTTTTGACGAAAATAAAAAAAAGATACGTCTCGTATAAGTTGCATTTTCAGAAATAATAACGGCAGGCCTAATAATGTTGTAATGTACCAACATTATAAACACTATAGGATATTTTAGTTCCCCTCACTTTACAACAAATCCTTTCAATTTAACCGTATCAGAACAGAATAAGAATTTAAAAATATATCATTCTAATGGATAAATATACTTGCAGTATATAATAATATATGCTTAGCAATAAACATGCCAAAACAAATTAATTTATAAAGAAACGTAAGGTAAAGTTGGGCTTACTTCTCTCAGGCACAAATCCAAATGTGTCCATATCCGCGATGTAGCTGAAGCTAAACTATTAGCCTTATTAGGGTGAGTAAACGACAGAAAAATTTTATTTTGGTGTGCCCTATCCTTTTAAGGGCCATTTTTGCACTACTCTGTATTGTTATGTAAATGTATGCTACATGCTATGTCCCTTTAGGGACCTAATAGACACAACCAGTGAAAAATCAGACACGTTCCCCACCTCAACTGTACTCTCTCATACAATTAAAAGTTATATTCTTTCTAGTAAATCTGTTTATCTTAAACAGTCCTATCTCTCATATGTAGTTTTGAAAAGTCTGACAAGTTCAGTTTCATTCATTCAGATGACTCCAAAGAGGAATCTGCCATTGATTTTGAGTTGTTGTTTTTTTGTGCTAATACCAATTTTTATTTTTATTTATGCAAATGAGGCCTAATTTAGCAGTAAACTGTTACAGAAAAAAATGAAACAAGATTCCATCCAAAATGCAGCTTTATTGGAGAAACAAGGAGGGGACTCCTCACATTTGGGCTGGGGGTCTGCATTCATCAAGGATGCATTGACTGGATGCATCCCAGCATTCAAGAGGATTCAGTATCATCTGCATCGGAGATGACTGATGTCTCTGTGTAGGAAAGATGAGGGAAGTCACATGCTGGCATTGTTCATGACTGATGAAAACAGCAAAGTCACATGGCGAATGCAAGGGCATTTCAAAAACCCCACAAACAGAATTTCACTTCAAATCAAATGGTTGAAATGATTGCGTCTGTACCTGTAATAATTTCTTTGACCTTTATTTGCCCAGCTGTTTGAAGAAAAGAAAGGGGAAATATAAATGGAAAGAGAGACACAGTAATAAACAGAGAGAGAAAAAGACAAGTCATGAGCACTAATAATAATCTGTCAAATGCACAACATTCATAAACCTGAAGCCGTTTCTGTCCTACACTGCCCTTGCATGTTAGAGTGAAACTTGCCTGTCAGGATGTATCTAGTTTGTATGTCCTTTGGGGCAGGGTTATGGGGGGAGTCCTGGGGGGTGCTGGTGTGGGGCAGGGCCCTCCCTACAGAATGGAAAATTGCAGATGCCCCCGGACTTTACTATTCAATAGGAAAGCCTAATCAAAATTATAATACATCATGGTGCTATTTATATTTTATCAAAATCTAATGGATTAACACACTGTTTTCCCCATAAAAACCACAGATTTCCACTTTAGCAGAACTAGCAAAATCCAGATGTCAACAACTGCGTCACTTCATCATGTGTATAAAAAAGGAAAACAAGAATGATCAACTGCTGTCACGTCAAGGCCAAATTTTCGTAGTTGTGGGGTGTATTTAAAGGAACAGATAAAAATCCACACGACCTTCCTTCCATGGAACACAAAAGCAAATTTTAAAGCGTATCTTGACCAATCTGTTCAATATAATGAAAGCGAATGAGGACTGGGGCTGCGTATCCATTTCACAAACCTGTTTAAATGTTACATTAACAAATCGGACTGATCTGATTCTCACTAAACCTATGATCTGATTCTGGTCACAGTGATTATCAGTGAATAATAATAATGTAAATTTTAAAACTTGAATCCAAAACTTTCCTTGTCTATCCCACAGAAGAAAAGAATGTCATGAGGGTGTGTAAATGGTGACAGAATAGTGAAACTTTGGTCATCTATCTCTCTGTTATCTCAGATAGCAAGGAGATCTTTCTGTCATCTCCGTCATAAAAAATTTTAACTCATAGCTATACTAACAAACACATTCTGTTGGTTTGAAGACATGCAATGTATGCTCATAATTACAATTGTTTTGTGATTAACAGTAACCAAGCAAACACTCAATAAGATACAACCGTCTGACCACAAAAGCTTTCCAAAGCAGTCAGGAAACTCCCTGATGACTGTCCCTAACGCTTTTGATACCATCACTGCTCTGTTTCCTTTCGATTTGTTAAACTGGCACAAGCTTTTGGTTTCCATTCAGTCAAAGACATTGAAACTTTCAAAAGCAGCTCTCACCTGAAAAAGTGTAGGACGACTCTGTAAACTCAGGCACCCTGAAAGCCACAAAGTAATAATGAAAAAAATGTCAAACAAAATCGCAGCAAACAGCACAAATCTCTTTATATTTATCACCCCAAACTGTATAATAGCTGACTTGACATTTCAAGCAGTTTTATAAGTGTGTTAGGGTAATACTTTCCAATTTATTTATGAAAGTAATTGTAAACTATAATAATTAAGCTACATGGAAAACTCAGTGGTGTAAATGGCCATAATTCACTGGGGGAACACTAGCTTTTTGGGGGGTGACAACCCCTTCTTAGATGGCCTTACAGATGCATAAAATGCAAATGTATAAAAACCTTTATAATCTATAATAAGATTAATCACATTTAACATTGTGTAGGAATCTGCACATGTGATAATGTAAGCATTGTTAATGACCCCTTGTATTTAATAAAAAAAGGGAGAATGAGTACTTGTGCTCCTAATTTAAAAAAATCTGGGAGCATCTTCTGAAAAAAACTTTTTTTCTAACCTTGTGAAATGTATAATTTTGTATGTCAAATTCATAAATTTGTGTTCATAAACTATTAAATTTTTTTAATTAAAACTATAAATTGAATTATAATAATAAGACAAAGTCAGGAAGATTAAGTTACCAAATCAAAGGAAATTAGTATCAACAAAATTCATCTTTGCACTACAGCGGTGCACAGAAGAACACAAATGTGGCATTTAGATATATTTACAGACTGTTTAAGGAGGCTCAGAGGTGGCATGAATGCATTTACATTCATAATATCCTTGTTATGAGATTATGTTGTGAATCTGTAAACACTGAATTATTTTAATAACTGAATGATACTTTTAAAATGAAACTAAAACCACCAGTTGGTGGTGGCACTGTCACTGTCTTTGTCACTGAATCACTCATTCGATTCATTTAAACGGCTGATTCATTCAGGAATGAAGCAAGTGACTGGGCGAATTCCAAACGGAAGACTTTGCTGTTCCCTTCGCTAATGGACTTCTGGAAGGTCCCTTCGTGAAGGGATTCAGTTGTTCACTTTCGTTTGGAACGTCCCTACAAATGGCGTCCCCTTCCCGAAGTGCCCTTCAAGGGCGCAAAAAAGCCATTTGGAATTCGCCCACTGTCTTTATGAATGGGTCATTGAATCAGTGACTCACTAGATTCGTTCAAAAACGTAGATTCATTCATAAATGAAACACCAGCTGTGTTTGCATGGAGATGCAGCAGCTCGGCTGTGACTTTGTGTGGAAATATATTAGTTGAGGAAATACAGCAAAATCAGATAACAGTGTTCCTAAAATATAAGTCACTTAATATTAACTTGTATATTTTTTGCATATCTTGCGTGTAGGCCTATTTTGATTACTGTGTGCGTGCTTGTGAAAGCGTGGTAGATTATGATAGGCTACCGTTTTCACATAACTTATGGGTCTATTGTGTGTTATTCTGTTATAGCATCTGTTAAAGTAAGACATACAGATTTTCGGCAAAAATCACGGTTCATCCTAGATAATTTACCTGAAGCAGTCTGCTTTCACAATCTATTCTGGAAGGAGTAGGACGCGTACCGACAGAGAAGCATTTCCATTGGCTGCAGTCTTCAGGTATTATGGCCAATCACAAAAGCCGACATTGCTTAGCTAATGTTTAAGGGATACAGCAAAAACTACTGAGTGTGCGCACATCAATATAGCGTAATTTTTCTCAACCATAATTACTGTTTTTGCATTATTGTAAGGGGTAGGTTTTGGGTTGGGGTAGGTGTAAACGTTAATAAAACACAATCTAATAGGTAGAAAAATGAAAGGGGTCATATGCAGAGGCGGCCAGTAGTGAAGTATTTTTACTCTGCTTTAAAAGTACTTTTCAAGTGTCTGTACTTTATCAGAGAGTCTTTTTCTTTAGAAAATTTTACTTCACAACATTTCAAAGCATAATATTGTAATTTTTACTGCACTATGTTTCATATTAAATATAATTGAATACTTAATTACATTAGTAAGTATTAATCTATTATTTTCTTACATTTACTCAAGTAAAGTTACCCATACTAGGAATTAGTGCTCTGCGTTTAACCCATCCTAAGTGCACACACACAGCAGTGAACACACACACACACACCGTGAACACACACCCGGAGCAGTGGGCAGCCATTTATGCTGCAGTTGGGGGTTCGGTGTCATGCTCAAGGGCAACTCAGTCGTGGTATTGAAGGTGGGAGACCTGTACATTCACTCCCCACACCTACAATTCCTGCCGGACTTGAGACTCGAACTCGCAACCTTCTCTAACCATTAGGCCACGACTTCCCCATAATACTTAATATTACTTAATATTCTTAAGTATTAAAGGTAAAACAAACAACAACTTTTATTTATGAAGTTAAGTGCAGTAAAAAAGTATGATATTATGCTTTGGAATGTAGTGAAGTCAAAGTTTTCCAAAGAAAAACACTCTGATAAACTACAGATACTTTTTAAAATGACTTGAGTAAAGTAAAAATACTTCACTACTGTTCGCATCTGGTCATATGATGCGATTTCAAGTTTTGCTTTCTCTTCGGAGTGTTACAGCTGTTTGTGAATAGATAAGATCCCTAAAGTTGCAAAGACTAAAAGTCTCAAACCCAAAGAGATATTCTTTATAAAAGTTAAGACTGGTCCACGCCATCCTAAAATGCCTCGTTCAAACACGTCCCCACATGTCTACGTCACTGTGTGGGAAGATTTGCATAACGCCGCCCAAATGTTCACGCAAAGAAAGAAGGTGTAACTTTATTGTTGCTGCCGCCGCCATGTTGTGAAGACGCTGTGTGTTTCGTTGCGAAAGCGAAAATACTTTGTTTGGCCTTCCAAAAGAGGACACGATCAAATCAGTGGTTAGGTTGTATTTACAACACTGTTCCAGAACAGTTCAACCCAAATATTCAGATGTGTGCAGCGCATATTATGGAGGACTGTTTCCTGATCCTGGGAGAGTAGACTACAATGCCGGCTGTTCTGACTCACAGTCTGTAAGTACGTTTTCATATTTAAAGAATTTGCCACTGATGATTCAAACGCGAGTAACAAGTAACATTTCCGTCACACGCTTGAGGTATTCGGCCAATCACAACACACTAGATAGCTGGCCAATCAGATCGCTTTGTTGGGATGTTGAATGGATAAAATATAGAAATCCCTTTCATTTCCCAAAAAATCTAACCAATTGGAACTTGGAACTGACCTAAAATAGACACTTTCCCTTGTATTGTAAATTTATGTATATTTTAACCTAAATTCCTGGTGTTAAATTAATCAAGTTATATGTGAACTACCCATATGATTATGGCATAGTTACTTGAAGTCATCTCCTTCCAGCAATTTTCTGTAGGTGGAGATTTCAACGTCCAGGGCGAGTTTGATGTCCAGCAGCTCTTGATAGGCCAGGATCTGTTTGTGGAGGTCTGCTTTAGCCACCTCTATGGCTGATGTGAGGCTAGCGATCTGTGCCTGGTATTCAGCAACACCCACACTGGACTGGGCCTGGGCCTCTGCTAAACTCTGCTCCAGAGTCATGTTCTGAAAACATAAACAACGATCTCCTGACCTGTAACAACGCATTGTTTTTCTCCTTTTGGACGACTCCAAAACAAATATTCTCCATAGATGGGGGTCAGGGTATGCTGTGTTTCAAAGACTAATGTTTTTAATTTAGTCTAGAATGGTTTCATTATTTTTTCCAAGAATACTTTTACAACTTTACCATACAGCTTCATTAAAAGTACCAAAAAACTCCACCTAATTCTTCAGCATTTTGATATCTCTTATTTTCAGACACTGAAGTTATTGTAAATGATGTCAGAATACTCTTGAAACGTTTGAGTTGTCTGGGAAATTGTTTCTTTTGCAGCAGCTCAGCTTCTCTTGTGGCATTGGGGCTTTTGCAGCCAATATGAAACGGCTGAGATCAATAAACCACTTCCTATGTCATCTGCTTCCTGTCCCAGACAGCTGTGATTTATTCAAGAGATGTTTATTATATGCTGAGAACCTGCAGTGAAGCGTTTCACACTGCTGACGAACACTGTCTCTCAAGGGAACTGCTACTGTTGAGCACCTTTACCATCTGAACACCGCTAAAAACATAATTTCATCTCTGTCAAAAGTGTCTGACTTTGACCCAACATCACACATCTGTTGTATCTCAAAGCGCATCATTTAAAAAGTCAAACACTTACTGCGGCTACAAGCCCTTGGAGCTCTAAATTCAGCGTCTGCATCTCTTTCCTGGCTGCTGTGATCTCAGCTTTAGTTGATGACACAGCCTCTGTGTTTTTGGCATTGGTCGTCTGAATCTCATCCATCTAGATTCACAAGTAGATAGAATAAGATCTATTAGTTGGAATGCCAAAATGATCAAACATTTAGACAATGCGAGCACTTCCTGTGTGCATACCTTGAGTTTGTAATACGCCTCAGCCTCCTCTCTGTGTTGCTGCACAGATTTCTCATATTCCATTCGTATCTTGTTGAGAGCTGCAGAGATGTCAAAGGACTTCCCAGTGTCTACTTCAATCATTGAGACTGAAGTGTCCATTGTTGTTGTGCCCAGTTTAGATTGCAAAGATGACAGTTCCTACAGTGACAGATGCAACAAATTAGTATGGCATATTAAGTGTACACAATACAATACATTTTATTCATAGACTACTGTTTTTTTTTAAAGAAATTAATACTTTTATTCACAGAGGATGCATTAAATTGATCAAAAGTGACTTTTATAACTCTGTTGTGTGACACTATGTTGTGTGACACTATATATATGAATACATTTGATTTTTAAAATAAAAATATTTACATTATCTTGATTACTCCATGCATGCATTTCAGATTTTATTCAACACATATCTTTAATTTGTACCTCCTCTTGTGTTTGGTTGACAAAGTCCAGTTCATTTTTCAGGCTGGAGTATTCGGCATCCAAGTCAATTCTTAGGTCAGAGGCCAATTCTATGTCCTAAAAAAGGATACAGACGTGTGGTCAAAGTTTTAGTTGTCTACGAACAACAAATTCAATTTTAAGTCAATAACAGATCAGTTTCGATATACATTGTGTGATTGAATGTCATCCTTCTCACCTTTTTCATGGCAGCAATGTCAGACTCAAGCTGAAACTTCACTCCTTGTTCAAAGTCAAGCCTTAGAGAAAATAAAAATGTTATTATTGACAATATGTTGTGTCATTTTAAATGTTTAAATAACATTAAAAAGCTTTTTTATAATTGTATCATAAAATATAATGCTTTTTTAATGTCATTAAAAAAGGAAACACTCACTTAGCCTTCAGTTCATGGGCAGTTCCACGAACATTGTCCAGCTCAATCTCCAGTTTAACAGTGTCGATAGTGAGAGTTTCCAATGTGCTGCGATATTCACTCAGCTGGGCCTCATACTCCACCGTGGCAGTCACAGATGACTCTTGGGACACATCCGTCCCCCCAGTCAGATGGGACAGCTTGGCCTCCAGAGCTGCGTTCTCCTGCTGTAGCACCCGTACTTTGGCCATGTACGTGGAAAAGCGGTCATTCAGCCCAGACAGTGTGTGCTTCTCAGCCGCTCTGGAAAGTATCGGGGCCACAGAACCACCTGATGCTGGTCCGGCAGCGAGCGTGGCGCTTCCACCGAGTCCTCCTGCAGCAACGGCACGACCCATTGCGAATGCAGGACTGGCAACCAGTGCACCACCGCCACCACCACCACCACCCAGTGCCAATACTGCACCAGCTCCTGCACCACCAGCAAGGCCAAAGCCGAGACCTCCACCAGCTCCAAAGCCCAGTCCTCCTCCCAGCCCAAGACCTCCACCTAAGCCAGAGCTACGCCCGAGCCCCAGACCCAGTCTTGCTCCACCACTTGCACCAAACCCTCCATATCCCCCAGACATCCTGGAAGAGGCCAAGGAAATAGACAAAGCCATGGTGAACAGCTATGGATGAGCACTGAAGGATCCGAGTCTGAATCGAGCTGAGAGTGCAAGCAGGGGGCGAGACATTAATGCTTGCTCTTTAAATACACTGAAGGGAGGGAGGGCAGTGCAAAAAGAGACACTCCACAGAGAAAGAATAAGCTGTAACTTGTCTCATTGGAGAGGTATGGCGTCGGTTGTCAGTTAAATCTCAAAATATTCTGACCTGCAGGCACATTTTCCTACTAGGATGGGTCTTCAATCTAAATGTTGTATTTCAGTAAAAGCTGAATGATGAATATCACCCCTTTTTTTTCCAAACGTGTCATGCACATTTACCTTACATTCTGAAAACTCCCCATCAGAATTTTGAAATGAATTTAATCTATTTTGAATTACTTAAGACTTTCTGAACATGTAGGGTCACCAAACAGAAATCCCCCCCCCCCCCCCAAAAAAAATTTTTTGTTTTCAAACAGGTTTTCCAAACACATACGCTTTTTAAAATCTGCTGTCTTCACTTGTGGAACCACAGAACATTTTGAGCCAATCCCCTAAGTGAATAAGCAAAGGAAAGTGACATTATAAATGTTGCTTTACAGCATAATGTTCCACAAAAATGCATCAGTGTTGTTATTGTTAACTAAAATGAAAACTATTGCAAAATAACTTCTGTAAATTAAAATATAAGTGAAATAAAATAAAATATATATATTAGATGAAGTACTTATAAATGGTTGAAGACCATGGTTGAAGAAAAAATGACACATAAAAATTACTTTAAACTAAAAACAAAAATTAAACTGAAAATGTAAAAATAAAAGCTAATTCAAATATATAAATACAATAATAAATATTATATACTTAAATACTACATAAATAATTTACAAGCTATTTTAAAGTTTTGAGCTTTTTTACCATAAAAAATTACCACCCAATCTTCAAAGATACTATCTTTACCAAATTCATTTATTTATTGTTGTGTGGAGTCCTAGAACACTAACTTTTATGTTTTTACGCCAAGAGTGCCACGGCGTATGCGTGTGCTGCTGCTGATGCAGAACATGCATGTGCTGCACCTTGTTTACAAACAGAGGAATGCATGCGCATGCGTTGTGGTACTCTCGAAAATGGTGGAAGACTGTCACTTGGAGGAGAAGAATTGTTGAATAAAGTCGTTTTCTTTTTATATATATATATATATTAATTTTTTTTTTTTTTTTTTTCACAAACACAAAAAATATTCTCATAGCTTCGTAAAATTATGTTTGAACCCCTGATGTCACATGGACTATTTTACTGATGTCCTTACTACCTTTCTGGGTCTGGTAACATTTCAGTTGCTTTGCTCTCTATGGAGCGTCAGAAAGCTCTCGGATTTCAACAAAAATATTTTAAATTGTGTTCCGAGGATGAACGAAGGTCTTATGGGTTTGGAACCGCATGAGGGTGAGTAATTAGTAAACTAACTCTTTAAGGCTGGACTACACCACAAATTTTGAACGGAAAACAAATGAATTTAGATTGAATTTAGATCTGAAATCAATTGAAAATCTGAACAGATTTTAAAACACTAGTTATCATAAACACCATATTTTTACAGAGAAAACATCAGACACCAAGGCACAACTTTTTTGAGCAATGTTGCTTTGGCACTTTCCCATTGAGAATGGGTAACAGATTTCTATCTGGATACTTTAGATCAGTCCTGTGCCCTGTGTCTCTCACCTGGTTGCCCGTTGATGGCAACATTGCTCAAAAAGTTGCCCCGTGTATTTTCAGCCTAAAGGAATCACACACAACACACACACACAGAAACATGTGCCTTGTTGCTAGTAGACAAAGGAAAACAAAGCTAAAAAAACCTTAGATTAGAAACACACTAGACAATTTTCTATGAATTTTGCCTTTACGTAATTCTGTTATCACAGATCTCTTGCATAAGGTCAATGCTTGCTTGGTATCAGTAACATTAATAAAAAGTGGAATCTAACAGACATCTGCTTGGTCTTGAAAGTCTCAAGGGCAGACTCTACTGATAGGTTTGTGCCTGTTCTGATGGCAGGTGAAGCATACCTTCATTCATTTTGCGAACTCATGATAGAAAAATTGACTAGCATCATTTGACAAGAAATTGTATTGTAAAGACAACTCAATTGTTTTAAAGAATGTGCTCTTTAAAAAAATTAAAAAATAAATAAAATCATTCAATACTAGATTAGAATGCATAGACTCAGAATCAGACAAGAATAGCAATGTAATTTACAAAATCCCCTGGCCTAAACAATAAATAACAGGGAAACATAAGGGGAAATCACACTGTTGTTTTCCTATCAGATGAGGAATTGTCTCTGGTTCAGTGGAAAGATGTAACACTTTTTTAAATTTCTTTGAATGTCATAACAGTATGAAATGTACACTGCACTTCTGCCAGGGTTATTTAGAGGAGGAAGAGGTTTTATTCCATTACTGATTATTTTGATACTGGAGGTTTATTAAAAGAGACAAACTCATAGGTTAGGTTAATCCGCCTTGGTTTAAAATATAAGAGTATAGAGATATAACCAGCAGAACTTTGGTGACAAACTTGGCTGGAAGACAAAAAGTACATCAAACTGTACCTTAGTAGTTCAAAAGGCCCCTTGGAACAACATATTTTAAGAGCTTTCTGCTATGAGAAACAAATGTGAAACAAAAATTGATTCTGGGTTACATACTGAAATGTCTGTGTTTTTGTTCACATCTTCATAATCTGACAAAATAATATTACTATCTCATCACACTAAGAGATTAAAGCATCCTAGAATGGCTTACAGTGTTAATACAACTGCAAGTGTGATACTGTAATGTAACAGTTTAATAAGTTCATATTGAGATACTTGCTTTAGATACAATATCGCCAGTTAATTTGTTTTTGCTCCCCCAATGAACATAATTCCAAAAAAAGCAACCACAGTCAAGTCGTTGCTAATTAAGTGAATCATTGTTTGAATCGGTTTAATGAATGATTCAATGACTCACTTATTAAGACACCTGCTGTGTCCCAATTTGCATACTATCAGTCCTATAGTATTCAAAATTTGAGTTAGTGTGTCCCAAAGCATTGTATGTTGAAAAAAGTATCTCAAAGATACCCGGATTGTTTACTATTTCTGGTGGAAGTGCAGATCCATGCACACTGTAATGGCTGATGTTGCTGGAGACAGGATGCATGTAAATAAGCAACTAAGCAACAGAACTGTCCATTAAAGATGTAATTATAACAAAGTAGTGTGTCCCAAACATGGATCACGGAATGAACCAAATTAGAGGGGGGGGGCTTATATATTTTTAAGCTATGATTCTGGATAACTGATTTTTAGAATATAGATCACGGTTCATAGATCACCTGATTCTGAAAACAAAACATACGACAACCAAACAAAATAATATGTAGGCTAATTTACTCACAACAGTTTTTGACAAAATATTATATTTAATGTAATAAATGAGGCTATTTAAAAATATTTATTAGGCTACTTTAAATGAATTCATTATGACAAAATCATTGAATGAAGACTTGTTTCGTCCAGTTTTTTAACAAATCTCTTACATGAATGATACAGACATCAAATACATTTTAACAGTCACTGGTCGCCACCTACTGGCATAATGTAACAAAATCTATATTTGAAGTGCAACATAGTTCCAAACGTCATTTACTCAGTTTGATCGCGGCTGCGCAACATCAGAGTTTATGTCAGGTGTCCTGACATTTTATCCTACTCGTCAGATTGTCCTACCAGGGTTTACTGCGCATGCACACATCAATATTGCGTCCTTTTTCCTACGCTGAATAACAATATTTAATGTATCTGCATTACTGTAAGGATAGGTTTATGGTTGGAGTAGGTGTAGACTTTAATAAAACACAATCTAATAGGTAGAAAAAAATATTTATTGTTGGTTTCCTGTTGCTGTATCCCTTCAAGCCGCAGCTACGAATATAATATTACATAATTACTGTATTTGCATTACTGTAAGGGTAGGTTTAGGGTTGGGGTAGGTGTAGACATTAATAAACCATAATTTTACAGGTAGCATTTTTCGTTGTCAAATTGTACTATCCACTTTTTTAATGGGAGGTAGCAAGATCTGACAGGGTAGCACAAATCGACAGAACACCGGACTAAACTTTTATCCCAATACTTTCATTATTATTTAATGTTTGCAACACAGAAATGTAGCCTAGCCTACATGATGAGCTGCTCTCTCTGGATCAGTGGCTCCGCGAAAGCAGGTTTAAATATTCCTGTGTGACTGTCATTTCAAAAGTTAAATAGACATAGTGGAATCATCAGTTAGGAATAAGATTGCATGTTTTAATCGAGATCGCAATCTTTTAAAGATTAATTGTGCATGCATATGAGCCTATAGCCTATGTATTTTTGTAGCCTTTGTCATATACCAGACCTCAAAAGTAACCCGGGCCCGGGCCCCGGGCCCCGCTTCCACGACCCATGGTCCCGAAGCTTATTCTGCTATACTCTCAAAAGCATGTTCTTCCTATTCTTCACAAAAAGAGTACATTCTTTTAAGGCGTAGTATAAGTAGGTGAATTGGGACGCAGCACTACACATTCCTGAATTAATCAATGCTATGAACGAATCGGTTAAGTGACTGATTCAATGACTCACTAAAAACAGTGGCTGTGTTCGAAATGCCATACTATCATACTACTCTTACTATTTCTGCAGTATCCAGTATGTATGCTGTGCATAGTATGCAAATTTTCTGTATGCATGTTATACACGGATGACCTACTATATTCTCCAGAATCTGCTAAATATAACTCAAATACACTGAAATCAGTACAGAAGCTGTTCGGAATGGCATACTACCATACTATATTGCAGTATGCTGTGTGTATACTGTGAATAGTATGTGAATGTTCTGTATGCATGGAATGCCCGGATTACCTGCTACATTGGCTGAAATTTGATGTATGCATCTGAAGACGCTGCATGGGATACTGTTTCCCAGAACGCAATGTGCTCCATGTGACATTTCATCTTCAAACGCGTGAGTGAAC